AATTTGGAGGAGTGAGCATCTTTGGCCGACCGGACATATATGTTTAGTACAAAACAAGGACGGTTCAAAAGGAAAACTCTATTCTGAAATGTTTTTACACTTCAGAAAAGTCTTTAAAAAATAAGAAGAAGTAATCAGCCTTCGAAACAGATTTGCAATTACAATTGCAATAATAAATTTCATTTTCAGAATTCTCAACCAGTTCCTAGAACACAATATATCTATACAAGAGGATCGGCTGCAAGTTGTGGAGCATTTTTTGAACTGAATCGAGACTACATTATCACAGGTTTGTCTTGTTCGCAGGGAATATCGTCATATCTGGAACATCCAGGATACACATGAATAAATATCTTTAGATCGCTTATACCAATTAATACTTAAGAATGTTAAGCTTCCAATTAAAAAAAATATATCCATCATCGGAAATACGTAAACACATTTTTAAAATTTAAATGTTAAATTGACGAAAAAATGTTGAAATCAATCTTTTAGATCTACTGTCATGAAAAATTCCTGATGTGTTTTTTAATTAAAAACTTTCTACAAAAGTCATGTATTGACTCTTTAATTGCATTAATTTCTGCATTGTTGAATTTCTTCTAGGAAATGTTTTAAACAGCGGTTCGTGGTTTACAACTTCATGCAATTTTTCTCCACAAGTGCAATATCTCTCTCCGTTCGAAAGGGCAGCGTTATATCAAGGAATTTACAGCAATAATTGTGACTGCACAGTATGTCAGTCCTTAAAGTATACACATTACACTTTATAACTCTCAAAATATAGTCAATTCTAAGTCTTATATGTTTGCTTCATTGTTTTAATTTAACAAAAAAACCATAAATTATCTATTTTGTATGTTTAACAGGTTACTGATTGTACATTTCCTGGATTAGACTGTCCATCAGTCGTGCCAGAAAATGAATGTTTCATTAGATCTGAGAGCAATGCAGGTTGTCTGTACGAGAATGACACTTGTGGAAGAGTCGGTTCTAGGTGCAACTGGATTTTAAATGTATGCTCCGAAAACAGACGGTATTAGAAATAAGGAAAAAAAATGAACGTGGAGAAATGTCGTCAATGATAATTTTCTGTAATTAAAGAACACTCAGTTCTCGTACAGTAACTATGATAATAAAGAAAAACAAAATATTTGCTTTGTTAACTTTTTCTTAAGTTACTTCATGCATACTTAGCCATACCTTTCATTGAATTTTTCGTAATTTTTGTGGACATTATCGACCTAAAGTGGTCAAAATTATTAACAACTACTGAGCATTTATTTCTTTATGTCTTGTTTTCCCATTTGTTAGTACATTTATGCTTAAAAACAGATCAAAAATGCAATATATTTTCTTTTCACATGTACCTACCTTATAAGATACTTAACACAAACATTAATTTTTGTTTGTATCTTTGCATATGGGAAAGATCATCGCATGCAATGTAGAAAAATATATAAACTTCAGCGCATGCTTACGTGGATAATGCATATTCCTATGCAACACACGTAGTTGTAAATGATATAATTGACAAATAGATAAAGAATTCATTTTATTGTTAAAAAAAATCATATAAAATAAGCAGTTTTGTTATGTGTTGTTTTCATGTTTATGTTCAGGTTATCCCACTCTATTAAATTCCATTCACAGTTAATTCTATCCACAGTTTTCAATGTAGGACAAAAAGGATCAGAGAGTCTTAATTGTGAAGATTATTTTCCATTTTCACACCAAGCTTTAGTCATTATAATTAGATTATATAATGAAATATCTCGCGATTTCTATTTTTTATATGAAACATTTACTGATTAAAGACAAATTCTGAGTCTTTTTCATGATCCTGGGGCCTGGTATTTATGAGGCTCTCTGTTCATATCCTGTTAACAGATTTTTATTGTATGTTGATTTTTTTAAATCGATTACCGTTCGTTATCTAAACCCTTTTCATTGCTGTAACTGTTAATGTTTCAGATGTACCCAGTATTCTAAAATAACTCCGTACATGCTTTACATTGAAAGCTTTTTTGGTCCAATTTTTGCCCTTGGCAGTAAATTTCTAACTAATCTAAATCTATATATTATCTCGTTTTGTTTCTAAAATTATATTTTTCAATCATTTTTTTCACATATATTCTTTTGTAAAATTTCAAGAAAAAATATTTCCTTTTCTAAAAGGGCCCCTTTAGTCAAGATTTGTTTTTTAAATCTCTATCATTAATTATTTATCAGTCACAAGATTTACTAAGACAATTACTTTGAACTATTTCAATATCTTTTAGATACATATACAGAAATTTTAAGAGAAAATCAAGTTATTTTTCTTATAACTATAAAATAATTTTTGTCCTCGATTTCTTTTTTCCAACTTAAGAAAAAAAAAAACAGGAAGGTTGGCAAAACTTTTTGCCGGGTAAATGTTTTCCCTTCAAGTTTTATATATTTGTATAAATTATTGTTAATATAAAAAAAAAAACATCGAAATTTTAAATTATCGGGAAACTTTTTAAATTATTTTCATTTAATACATTCCCTACAATTGGTAGATGTTTGGAAATACCTAAATAAGTGTTGATTTTGTGGAATAAAATGCGTCGAAAACTATACAACAGACACTTTGCGAAATTAGTTGTTAAACGACATGCAATATAGTTTTGAATGATGATTTATAATGTTTACCGTTGTGCACAATACTTTCTGCACGGTTTGCACTTTTGGATCGTGTATTTTGCACCTTCTTACGTCAGAGTACATATGTTCAACAGCTTGTTAGTAAATGTCAATAAGAATGAAAAAAAATCTCGATAAATCCGGTTTGAAGAGCATTATAAATGTAAAATACGACGGTTATTTTTACCTTTTCATTATTTCACTAAACCTACAATGAGAACTTTGATTATTTATGTAATATTCGTTGCTTTCATTGCTGAATCAAACGCATGCACATGCCTTCCTCAGCATCCACAAGAGCATTTTTGTAAATCACAATTTGGTAAGTTGTGTTTAAAGTTAAATATGAATTATTGTATTTTTCATCCATCTAACATTTTGTATGTTTTTCTTTTTTATTTACACAAAATGATTTCAGAAATGTTTTTGAAAATTTTAACGAACCTACAAACCTATGAAGAACCAAAATAATTACTTTGGTTTTTTTTCTTTTTATTTCTTTAAGACGATTTTTCTTTAATACAAATATGTAATAAGTCCAGTAATATACTCACATAGCAAAATGCATCTTAAATATAATTTTAAAAAAAATGCAACATTTCCATTTCTTCTTCAAGTTGTCCAGGCAAGAGTAATTAGACAAAAAACCGTGAACAATGGATTGGATATTGTTTACACTGTTCAAATTATTCAGGATTTCAAGGTAACGTTTATTCATAGATATTTGAACTTTTTTCCCCATCAGATACGCTTTTCAGAAACCTTTTTTACACCATTCAAATGTTCACAATCCGAGCGCGTAGCGCAGGGTTTTTCTTTAGATTCGTGGGGTAAGAAGTTGACTCATTCGTCGTGGGTTCGAATCGCACTGCAGGAAACAGAACGCGGTCCTTATGTTGGCACCGTATAATCCGATGTCCCCTTTTGTAGCCGGGCTGGCACGAAGAAGAATCCTAAGTTCGCCATCCACCAACAAGTGATGATGTCTCAATATATGAATGAAAAATTCTCGAAAGGGACGTTAAAATCACAAACTAACACAGTTCGAAAAATCTGGTTTGAATCCCACTCTGGGACGATGAGGTTCATCAGCTGAAAGGGTATGGACCGAGGCCCGTGTCTCAGTAGATGCTGGCACGAAAAAGATCCCTCACTGCTCCATGGCTCTGAGTGTCGAGTATAGGTAAAAATTTCCAGCTTACTACCGACAATGAGCGGCGTTTTCATATAAGTGAATATTCCCGAGACTGACATTTGAAAACAAACAAACAAACAAAAAAAAAATCAAAAATTTCACATAAAATGTCTTCGTCTATAATATAAAATGACTTTGTTTAGCGTGATTTATCATTAAGCAGATGTTTATTTCATGAGGCTCTGTTTTGCACTTTACTCATTTTTGACAGAGTGACAGCAGACGGTACGGACAGCAGACGACAATGCGAACTATAAAAACCAGCTCATCATCTGCTGCTTGTGGTTCATACTTCAAAATAAACAAAGAATACATCCTATCAGGTAATTTGCTAAATAAGCATACCTGTTATTTATTCTAGAATTATATTTTTTGTGTTGATCTATGCATTCAAAATGTTTTCCATCATTTTGTATTATACTTTGTATATTAAAAAGGAGAAGTACATTTGAATTTTCATAAAATTGATTTACTGCGAGTCTGCGACGTCTCTCAATATATAACATAGGATTTGTATAGTTTAGAATATAAGAAGTTTCAGAAATACAAGAACAACATCAGATGTATATGTTTGGATTTTGTATAGTGACATACATGGTACAACTAACATATCTGGTGACTAAAACATATTCTCTTTTTTCTTTCTACATTATGACATAACATTAACATTTTCAGGTTTCAACCATCAGGGAAACTGGGAAACAAATTTATGCGCCTGGAATACAGAAACGTCTTTACTTACAGAATACCAAAGAAGAGCCCTGAACTTTGGCATTTATCAAAACAGTTGTACATGCAAGGTATAGCGTGCATTATGCTCTTATGCATTTATGAAGGAAAAGGATGAATTACATATTTAAATCAAATTATTGAATTATTGATTCAAAAAAGATTATTCAATAGAATTTAATTAAGTATTCTCTCTTTAATTTATTGGAATAGTACACAACAAGAAAATATATCAGAAAAAATATATCTCTTAAATAAAGGGTATGTCCATTTATAGATTTTTGATTGCACATCGGATGTGATAGATTGCCCAGCTGTCAAAGGAAACGAGTGCGTCATCAGAACAAATCCTAGTTGCTACTATGATAATAATTCATGTGGAAGGGTCAACTCCAAGTGTATGTGGGCATCTCCATCATGTGATGTACCACAACAGTATGTAAAATAAAAGTACATGTGCCTGCATAATCAATATAACCATGTCAGGTTTTTATTTATATGTACGCCTTCTGTGTTTATCTGACTTAATAAAAACCGAATAAATTGATTAAAACATTAATATACTGGTTTTTGATCTTACTTGCTGATTAAAATGTTTTATAAAAAAAACATTAAAGTTACACAAAATTAATTTTTTATAGCAAATACTAAAGTAACTTTCTGAGGATTAACTGGAAAATTTCTTGGGTATATTCGGGAAATATTGTAAAAAAAGAGAGTAATGACTAATCAATACTAATTGTTAAGCAATTCATTTCACACCGCATTGTCTGTGGATTTTTTCCTGGCATCGTGATATGAGAGGAACACTCGGCGGATGTTACCAGTCGATTTAGGATACTTACTCCTCCATGGCACCTAACCAACCTCTGATGTCTGTTTGTATTATTGATTTAACTGAGTTTTAAGGTTGATTATTTATACAGGGAAATGACAACAAAATGTTTGTTTTAACCTTTATTTTGGCGAACATTGGCCGTGGCATAGTAATTTGTGGGATGCCAATTAATACACACAACTTTTGGGCAAACCCACACAAATTCAATAAAATTCATCAACACTAACAAGTCATATGTGCAAAAATGACCACCCCGGGTAAACCGCGGGTGGTTACTTATTTAAGGTTACTTATTTAAGTGTAATTAGTTATATGCACAATTCAAGCACAAAACAAATTATATCAACATATCAGCAAATATTTTACATATAAAATGGTTCAACATTTCAACCCCCTTCACAGTTCAATGGTGAAAACTTCACAACAATACAAAGTTTATGTAGGCCTCAGTTGCTTTGGTGTGCGCAAACGCCACATGACAGCGAACAACCGAAGGAGAGTTCGCAATCATCCCACACATGGGGGAGCACCCAAGCAACTGACAAACAAGAGGCCCATGGGCCACATCGCTCACCTGAGAAGCTTTGACCATTCTGTTCTTTACCAGATTTCCCCCTTGTAATACATTATGTATCCCCACCCTACCCCACTGATCATAATTAAGACATTTTGAAATCAACTACCCCAGGATCCTTCCATGTGCAAATAAGTTTCAGCTTTTCTGGCCCAGTGGTTCTTGAGAAGAAGATTTTCAAAGATTTTTCCTATATATTTTTATGTAAAACTTTGATCCCCCCATTGTGGCTCCACCCTTCCCCTGGGGGTCATGATTTGAGCAATCTAAAATCTACATTACCCAAGAATGCTTCCACATAAGTTTCAACTTTTCTGGCCCGGTGGTTCTTGAGAAGAAGATTTTCAAAGATTTTTCCAATATATTTCTATGTAAAACTTTGATTACCAATTGTGGCCCCACCCTTCCCCCGGGGGTCATGATTTCAATTAGAATCTACACTATACCAGGATGCTTCCACCTAAGTTTCAGCTTTTCTGGCCCAGTGGTTCTTGAGAAGAAGATTTTCAAAGATTTTTCCTATATATTTCTATGTAAAACTTTGATTCCCCATTGTGGCCTCGCTCTTTCCCCGGGAGTCATGATTTGAACAATTAAGAATCTACACTACCCAAGAATGCTTCCACATAAGTTTCAAATTTTCTGGCCCAGTGATTCTTGAGAAGAAGATTTTCAAAGATTTTTCCTATATATTTCTATGTAAAACTTTGATTCCCCATTGTGGCCCCACCCTTCCCCCGGGGGTCATGATTTTTAAAATTTAGAATCTACACTATCCCAGGATGCTTCCACATAAGTTTCAGCTTTTCTGGCCCAGTAGTTCTTGAGAAGAAGATTTTCAAAGATTTTTCCTATATATTTCTATGTAAAACTTTGATTCCCCATTGTGGCCCCGCCCTTCCCCCGGGGGTCATGATTTGAACAATTTAATATCTACACTACCCTAGGATGCTTTCACATAAGTTTCAGCGTTTCTGGCCCAGTAGTTCTTGAGAAGAAGATTTTCAAAGATTTTTCCTATATATTTCTATGTAAAACTTTGATTCCCCATTGTGGCCCCGCCCTTCCCCCGGGGGTCATGATTTGAACAATTTAATATCTACACTACCCTAGGATGATTTCACATAAGTTTCAGCTTTTCTGGCCCAGTAGTTCTTGAGAAGAAGATTTTCAAAGATTTTTCCTATATATTTCTATGTAAAACTTTGATTTCCCATTGTGGCCCCGCCCTTCCCCCGGGGTCATGATTTGAACAATTTAATATCTACACTACCCTAGGATGCTTTCACATAAGTTTCAGCTTTTCTGGCCCAGTGGTTCTTGAGAAGAAGATTTTTTAATGACCCCACCCTATTTTTGTCTTTTCTTGATTATCTCCCCTTGCGAGGGGATATGTCCCTTCATTTTAACAATTTCAATTCCCCTACACCCAAGGATGCTTTGTACCAAGTTTGGTCAAAATTGGCCCAGTGGTTCTTGAGAAGAAGTCGAAAATGTGAAAAGTTTACAGACGGACAGACGGACGGACAGACAGACAGACGGACGGACGACGGACAAAATGTGATCAGAAAAGCTCACTTGAGCCTTCGGCTCAGGTAAGCTAAAAAGCCCCCACGGACCAATGTTCTTTATGTTTTGTTTAAGGATACACATTGCCTTGCTTTGACAGGAAAAATTCTAACCCCCCTTGGATATTATTTAGAAAGAGTTTATTTCCTAGGTCATTGAGGTGTACTCCATCTGGCAACAGAAATTGTGATATGTTTTTCAATAAATCAGGGTACTTTATGTAACAACCCCCCAACTCTAACACTAATGAAGCAGCTACCCTATTGGCCTTAAGACGGGATCGCTCCATTGCTTTATTGTCCCCCGAGTACCTCCATTTATTTCGTGGCAGCATCTGTGACCAAACAAGTGTAGAATGTGGAAAGCGAGTCTTAATAATCTTTAGATGGGATTTAATTTTCTCAATGAGAGTATACAGATTAATTGATCCTAAATCGTTTGCCCCACAGTGAATAACCAAAAAGTCTGGGGATTCCTCATATTCTGTCAGAAAAAAGAGCTTTCTTTAAAGTCCCAAAAAATTTAAACCTGAATATCCCTGCCACCAGATATTTATTTTCAATCTATCCAATCCAAGATTTGTTCCCCCCGGTCTGCATACTGATGCCATCATTGCATTCTTAATAATAGAGGAGCCCACACGCCAGACTTTAACTTCAGGGACCTCTACAAATGTATGCAATAATTTGAATAATTCTTAATATATTTACAAAATTACAACTTATTTGCCCAATAGGACATCTTATGTATGATTTGTATGCCCTAGACTTCCAACGCCCTGCTTCCATTGTGACATCTTGTGAACACCCCGCTTCAAATGCTGCAGTGGCTGCCCCGATACAAAATGAATGGGCCCTATAATGTCCCTGAACCCCAAAAACCTGAAGTGATTTTTTCAAAACCGTAGAGAACTGATATCTGGTAAGGGGATTTTTTCCACAGTGGATAAATAATGGCCCTTTAATCTTTGGTCTTACTGCAAGAAAATCTATCAAACTTGCTACTGGACACAGGATTCCCTCACTTTTATCAATGGCTAAAGAAACCCCCTTTCTATCCGGATCACATTTTGACATTCTTATGTGTACAAAAACCTTGGAGTAATTAGTTTCAAACTGAACATCAGTCACTTGTAAAATTGTATGAACACTATTACCAGTAGACAATGTGAATTCCCCTATTCTGAGAAAACCAAAGATGGCTGATATATAAGCAGCTCTGAACAATTTTGTTTCATAACTATTGCTACAAATGCTCGATAAAACCCTAACAACTTTAGTAAGCAACTGCAAGGTTATAGGTAGCCTTGCATCTGCAGACCTACCAGTTCTTCTCATACCCTCAAGAACCTTTACAACCAGAAAGTTCTTTGTCTCATCAACCCAATTGTGAATTTTGCATTGAAAACTAATAGAAGATAGATAAAATTTTGCCGTAGCATAGGAACACTTCTTAAGTGACAGATAAGCAACAAAGTGAACAACATCTCTAAGAGGTGGGGGCCATGAAATTTCGTACCCAAATTCTTTCCGGAAATTATGAAATGAATTTTGTCCTGTTTCGTATGCTGTCTTAGTGTTTTCAGAGATTGAAGCATCTAGCAATTTATTCATTATAATCTGTAAATCATGTTGACTAATTCTACTGGAAGAGGGTCTGGTCTGGTGCTTGCCTCTGGTGCTAACCTCTTGAAGCGGAACCACTGTTTGCGAGAAATAGAATCTGCAATTTTGTAATCCAAGCTACTAATGTGATTTGCCCTAAATATAACATTATTGATCATCAGTCTAAGAACCAAATGTCTTACCAATTCCATCACTCTTTTGGACTTGGAAGATTGGGCATTGATGACACTAACTAATGAGAGGTTATCAACATGAAACTGAACTTTTTTATGTAACAACCTGGGTCCCCATATCTCTATTGCTAAAACTACTGGTATAAGCTCAAGAAAAGTCATGTCTCTCAAAATTTCTTGGTTGTTCCAATGTTTTGGCCATTGGAGAAAAAACCGACTTTCACTAAAGTAACCCCCACAACCTAAATGACCTGAACCTGCACTATCTGTAAATAACTGTAAAATGCTAGAATCTTCCCATACAGTATTAGAAAAATATGCAACCCCATTGAAATGGTTCAAGAACACCAGCCACATTCTAAGGTCACTTTTAATTCCTACTGATAATCTTATATGATGATGTGGCTTGAAAACTCCACTAAATGCATCATACATTCTTCGAATAAAAGCTCTACTAGATCTGATTGCCTTTGAGAAAAAATTGAGCATTCCTACTAAAGACTGCATTTCTTGCAGTGTAACTTTTTCCCTATCTAAAAAATTTTCAATCAGACTCTTCAGGATTTCTAACTTAGCTTCTGGGGTCTTAATTGTCATCTCTAGTGTATCAATTTCGAAACCTAGAAATATTAATTTTGCCGTTGGACCAGAAGTTTTCTCATGGGCTAGAGGTACCCCTAAATCCCCAGCTAAGTTACTAAAAGTAGACATTAGAATTTCCCATTAATCACTCCCAGAC